AGAGGAGAGAACACAACTCAGGAAAGAGAGACGAGAATTGTTTTTAGTTCGTCGCGAAAAAGAGGCACAAATCAGATGTATTGAGCATAAGATGCAAAGAGTGGAGATTGTAAGTGAATTAGCCATCGCTTCACTTCTAATGTCATTGAATTGTAACTAAACTATTGTTTTATACGACAACAGCATCAGGAATGGGAGCGCTCTCATCAACACCTCTCCAACTATATTCAGACCAAAACCAAACCAAATCTCTTTTATTTACCGACAAAACACACGCCGGAGACTGAAAAGAGATTACAAGAGACTAAAGACAAATACAGATGTAATTAATCCTTATTTCTAAAACCCTGTAAAAAGTACTTAAGATTTGATAATCGATTGATATTTTGCAGTAATTGTTGCCGAAAAGAGAGCTAAAGTACAGAAAGAGTTGTCAGAAATCGACGAACTCTACAAAAAAGAGGAACAAAAACTGTTGGCCGAAGAGATGGGAGACATCGATACCCACGAGTCTAACGCCAAAGAAAACTCAGATGAGACTAAAACTTTGGCCCAAAATGAGAGTCAATTATCAATAGAATCTAACAATAATAGCAATAATATAATTATTTCAGACGAAGACAATAATATTAATGTCTCCAATGAGACGACAAGCGGTTCAGTCGTCAACTCAGCTGAAGACACATCTAATGGTGTGAAGACTGAGAGCGTTGAACACGAGTTGGTTGAGACACACGAAGACACCATCGAAGACAAAGAGTTTGAGCCGATTTATGATGAATGAGAGGAATGTGACACCAATTTATTTACCAAAAAACCTTTTTTATTCAACAAAAATCAGGTTTAAAAACATAAGTCTAACAATCGTTAGCCAAACAACAAGAATAGTCATCTCTTTTACACTTAATTAAGAATTTTAAAAATAGATTTTTTTTAAAATTTTAATCATTTAAAAACCAATTAATCATTTAATTAATTGACAAAACATTACTTATAAACAAACATTGATTATTCAAACCCTTTACTATTCCTCCATTTTCTGGTAAAACAATATCGGATTCGTTGAGTTTACGACTAGTTTTAACTAAATAGAGGAGAGAACACAACTCAGGAAAGAGAGACGAGAATTGTTTTTAGTTCGTCGCGAAAAAGAGGCACAAATCAGATGTATTGAGCATAAGATGCAAAGAGTGGAGATTGTAAGTGAATTAGCCATCACTTCACTTCTAATGTCATTGAATTGTAACCAAACTATTGTTTTATACGACAACAGCATCAGGAATGGGAGCGCTCTCATCAACACCTCTCCAACTATATTCAGACCAAAACCAAACCAAATCTCTTTTATTTGCCGACAAAACACACGCCGGAGACTGAAAAGAGATTACAGGAGACTAAAGACAAATACAGATGTAATTAATTCTTATTTATAAAACGCTGTAAAAGTACTTAAGATTTGATAATCAATTGATATTTTGCAGTAATTGTTGCCGAAAAGAGAGCTAAAGTACAGAAAGAGTTGTCAGAAATCGACGAACTCTACAAAAAAGAGGAACAAAAACTGTTGGACGAAGAGATGGGAGACATCGATACCCACGAGTCTAACGCCAAAGAAAACTCAGATGAGACTAAAACTTTGGCCCAAAATGAGAGTCAAATATCAATAGAATCTAACAATAATAGCAATAATATAATTATTTCAGACGAAGACAATAATATTAATGTCTCGAATGAGACGACAAGCGGTTCAGTCGTCAACTCAGCTGAAGACACATCTAATGGTGTGAAGACTGAGAGCGTTGAACACGAGTTGGTTGAGACACACGAAGACACCATTGAAGACAAAGAGTTTGAGCCGATTTATGATGAATGAGAGGAATGTGACACCAATTTATTTACTAAAAAACCTTTTTTATTCAACAAAAATCAGGTTTAAAAACATAAGTCTAACAATCGTTAGCCAAACAACAAGAATAGTCATCTCTTTTACACTTAATTAAGAATTTTAAAAATAGATTTTTTTAATTTTAATCATTTGAAAACCAATGAATCATTTAATTAATTGACAAAACATTACTTATAAACAAACATTGATTATTCAAACCCTTTACTATTCCTCCATTTTCTGGTAAAACAATATCGGATTCGTTGAGTTTACGACTAGTTTTAACTAAATTACAATTACTTTCGCACAACTTATGAAAGTCCCAAATATGCAAATGTTTGCTCTTTCCCTGTTTGGCGTAAACCAGAAACTTATGATAACTATTGCTCTGAATTACATGCATTAAAAAGTCGGGTAATGAGTGTTTGGGTGTTAAGTGAATGAGTTGAGGGTTGTGTTGGTCTGTAAATCCGCACAAATCGTCTTTGAAATCATTTTTATTGATAGCGACACAAAAACCTAGAATTATAGCCCAATGCGCTCTCTGTCCGCCCAATAGTGTTGGCTCGTGATTGGCATCGGAATCGTAAGGTACCAGAACTGGCAGTCCTTTCGTCAAATGCACCACTAATTCATTGATTCTGTCCTTTAGGTTCACTTTAATCTCGGTCTCAACCGATAGCACTCTATTCGCTAGTATTGCCATATTTTCCACTGAAATCGTATCATATTTTTTGTAAGTCTTATATCATATTCTTTTGGTTTTAATTACAATATTATTAATTCAATTATTTATTCATTTTTCAGATATTATCTCGAATTCAAGTTAAGAGTTCTGTTTTAATGAGAATTGTTTTGAAAAATAGATAATTTGTGAGTATTTTAATATGATTTATGGGCTTTTTAGTTAATACTAGTTTTTTGTGGGCTTTAATCTCTTGGTAAGTATTGTTAGATTTAGGATTAATTTTAGTCCAAAAGTTAGTTAATTGAATACATTTAAGGAAAACATCGATTAAAACTTTACTTCAAACTAAAATCTTGTATTACTGTAAATGAAATCAAGTAATTAATACCTGAAAACATTTCTCCTGTTTTCGTAAAACCCATATCCTTTGCCAATTCGTACCAATCGTTTTGATTCAGTTCTAAGCCTTTATTTAAGACCAAAGACTGGCTCATCATTAGCGCCACTAAACCACATCTGAATTGACATATAATTCAATAAATTCATTGATAACTATAGCTTAGGACATGTGTTAAGGCATACTTCGGACCCATTTGTATCACTGATTCGGTATTATTATAAAGCGATACCATTACAAAGTCTTCCTCCAAGTCTTTGGTCCAGTAATTCCAATACAAAGAACAGGCATTCGATGAGATCTCATACGAGTTCTCTTCAGTTTTTCTGTTGTCCACTCTTTGATCGATGGATCCGTTGGTCTGGAGTTCAGGTAAGGCAGGGATGGGAGGAATGCCATCTTCTGAGAGGATCCAACCGTTTGACATCACTTGACACCACTCTTCGCTTGGATTAGTTCCCAAATATATTTGAAATATATCTCATATACGAGACAATCGACTGATACTCTTTCGCACAACAAATGCATTACATCTCAAGCCATGACATTGTCTTATAATTGAATTGAAGACAAAGCCATAAGAGAGACAAATATAGCCATGAATTGAGACTTCAATGACTTTTCAAAGTTTGAGACCATTTATGGTTTAAATGCTTTTGATTTGTATATTGTCTGCAATGCTATGCAATGCCAGCGCATGACTACCACTCCATACCAGACATACCGTACACTCATTACCACTCAATTCACAGCACATCTCAATCAATACATCACTGCTTTATAAACGCGTTATAAATGCTGTAATCAATGGCTTTATAATCAATAAATGGTTGGTTTTAATTGTTGTCAACAAACAAATGCAATGTTAAGTGGATTTAACTGTAATGTGAAAAATGCTAATCAAACTCAAAGTTAGTGTCAAATGGTATGCAATAGTAGTGTTGAATGTGAGCACAGATGGCATTACAGACACTCAACACCACAAACACGTGAGACTTGACTACACATTGACCACACGTTTAGGCATTTAAATCACTTCATCAGACAATCGGTTCATTTGTTTGCCTTCAATGGATCCACAATCGAAAGAAGTGACGGCACGACCGCTCAAGAGAGGCGCTCAACAAATGGATGTAGACTTAACTGAGACAACAGCTGAGGCCTCACCGGTGATGGATGTGATGAAACCATTGCCCGACTTTAAGCCCATATCTGAAGACAAACTGCAGGTATTGTTATCACGTTTTTGGTGTCCATTGAAATGAAGATATTTACCGATTGATTGATGTGTTGTTTCAGACAAATAGCAATGAGTTTCGCAAAATCGCTGTTCCGTCCCATCGATACACACCTCTGAAGGAGAATTGGATGA